CGCCGCCTCCACCTCCACCGCCGCCACCGAAGCCCCCACCTCCGCCACCACCCCCACCCCCACCCCCTCCTCCGCCTCCACCGCCACCACCGCCGCCCCCGCCTACTCCTCCAGCGCCCTTGCCCCCCTTGCCCTTGCCGTTGCGGCGCCTCCCGCTAGGAGCAGACGCAGCGCTGACCGACTCGGTGCCAACGAGGTCGACAGCAGCAGCAGAGGCAACGGAGGGCAAAAGGGGAACGGGGGAGCACCCCTCAAAGAAAGGGGTACGGGGGTCACCACGAGAGGCTCCTACAGCGGTAATACTCGTCTCAGCTGCAAGGAGGCGCTCCTCGAGGAGGTCAACGGTGAGTGTGGTGGGGCAAAGAGAGAGGAAGTGGTCCCTGACGGAGCGAAGGGTGTCAGGGAGTCGGGTGACTAGGTAGTAGAGGGTGATGTACATGGGGGGGGGGTTCTTGGCGCAGAACTCAGCAGGAAGCGCAGCGCGGTAGCGGGTGTCACTAGTGCGGAGGTGCGTAATGAGGTCAGCGACTGTGGCAAAGGCGGCGAGGTCAGGGAACAGGTACGGCAGCATGAGGCGGCTAAGGGCAGAAGTGGCAGGGGAGGAGTAGCGTGCAACTACAGCGTCGTACAGAGTCTTAGCACTCTTGTACTGACTAAAGTGCGCGCGCTCAGTGGACGGTAGGTGACTACGCACAGCAAGGCGGGCAGCAGCATCGCGCGTGGTCCACTGCGAGCGAACAGTACTGTCAGCATCAGCAGCAGGGGCAGTAGAGGCGCCAGACGTGAGATCGAACAGTGAGAGACCATCCTTGCTATCGCACTGTAGGAAAAGCTGCAGATCATCTACCCAGACCTCAAAGTCGACCGCTCGACCCTCAGCATCGAATGTGAGTACATTAGGGTGTGCCATAGCAGCAGGAGCAGCAGCAGTGGCCTAGCTACAGCAGCAGCAGTAGCAGCACGACTCGGCAGGGCGGGGCGGTTCGGTAGGGCGGCTCGGCTAGGCAGGGCGGCGCGGGTGCAGCAGCACGCGAGTGCGGCGGTGCACTCACCAGTGGCGGAAGAGGTGGGCCGCTACTGGTGGGGCTGGGCCGGGGCGCGTCAGCAGGGCGGCTGGAGGCTCGGTAGCGGCAGCAAGGCCGCTACGGTGGCAGTCGCTGCTGCAGCAGGGACGGCGACGACAGCTGCTGCAGGGACGGCAGTTGCTGCAGGGACAGCGACGACGGGGCGGCAGGGCCGCCACGGCGACAGCAGGGGCGACGGCAGCTGCAGCAGGGGTGGCGACGACGGGGCGGTGTAGAGCCGCTGGGGGCAGGGGTGACGCCGCGCGGGTCCCGCAGGGGCGTCGCGACGAGGGAGGGGCGACACCCGGGTGGCGACGGGGCAGGGCCGGGCGAGGCCGCGACGTGGCCGCGACAGGCGACGGGGCAGGGCCGGGGCGGGGCCGGGGCGGGGCCGCGACGGGGCCGCGACGGGGCCGCGACGGGCGACGGGGCAGGGCCGGGGCGAGGCCGCGACGGGGCCGCGACAGGCGACGGGGCAGGGCCGGGGCGGGGCCGCGACGGGGCCGCGACGGGCGACGGGGCAGGGCCGGGGCGAGGCCGTGACGGGGCCGCGACGGGGCCGTGACGGGGCCGCAACGGGGTCGCGAAGGGGCCACGAAGGGGCCACGAAGGGCCGCGACGGGCAGCAGGGCAGAGCGCGAAACGCGCTTCGGGCAGGTCAGGGAAAAAAAAAAGATTTTAGCGAAGTGGTGGGCCCTAGGAAAAAAAAAAACGGTCCCACTAGGGAACCCGCTCTATACCATATGAAGAAATGAGGAATGGATGAACTAGAAAAGTGTGTGATACAAATATGAAACCTATACTGTCAGAATATGTTATATTTGTCTAGCCTGCAGTGGGGTAAACAATAGTGAGTACAGCCCAATCTAGGGTTTCCTATATGTATCCACCTGCTTGCTAGTCCAACCCTCTTCTTTTGCTTATTCTCTCTTGCCTGGCTAGCTAAACCCTAGCCATGGCTCCTCATTCTGCCTACTATCTTAACATATACCCCTTAGTGTCTACCCCACTATAGCCTACATAGGCTAGGTCATATATGTCTGACAGCTAGTTGGGCAGCTCTGTGGTGGGCCCTAATAAAATCGGTCCTAGCGAAGGACCTGCTCTGAAACCATGTCAAAAGAATTAACGAGAATGAATGAACTATGAAAGAGTTCGGTACAAGTACTAACCCTAATTGGGTTTTACCCCTTATGGGCTACCCCACTATAGCATACATAAAGTAAGCAATATAACATTCTGACACTCGTGTCACCCCGTGAGTGGTTCCTGTGCATTGCACTTGTCTAGAAGAGGGAAATGATCAGATTGGGGCCCCGAAGGTCTAGAAAACTAGCCAACTTGGAGCCTCGTGTGTCGCAATGTGTCGAACCTGGGCCGGACCTGTCTCTAACCAAGTTCGGGCCTCACCCACGCGCTCTGTCATACCTGACCACACATGGTGACGGATTTCTCAACTGACAAGCGGGAAAAAAAATAAACCCCATACGGACATGCATCCGGTCAGGGAGGCATCAACCCTAAACACCTTGTCGCATGTGTTTAGGGTTGATGCCTCCCCGATTTTATGCCATCCGAATGGGTTTTATTTAATTTCCACTCCGATGTTAATATTTTTGGGCTAAAATATTTTTTTCCTGAGTGATTTCGCTGAAGTATCTGTACTGCCCATTGTGAATGGGCTGACGATCGCTGCTCCCGTGACCCAGGGTGCTAGAGAAATCCGTCAAAACCAGGCCAGTAGGTGGTGACCTGGTGAGAAGGCCAGACTCGGCCCTGACGTGTGGGTTGCTTCGGGCGTATGTCGTAGGGGCGCGACTCACAAGGCCCCTAGTTGGCCACTTTACTGGCACTCCGAGGCCCCGTTCTGATCTTTTCCCTCTAAAAGAGCCAACCATCACGGCGGCGTTCCCTCACCGTCTAAAAACGTGTTCATAGGGACCATCAACATTGCTCATCTGCACGGCGTCCAGAAATGTCTAGCATTGAATACCGTCAGATGCCCGTTGGCTCGAACATCTGAGGGCTGAGATTAGTCAGCTGATCGATCTGTACCTGTGTTCAATCTGCCACATACTCCGTTTCGTCACGCGTCTGGACTCTGGATGTCAAGATGGAGGTCGTCTCTGGGAATTTATTCGCGCCCGTTCTTGACGCAGTTGACATCTCTCTCCAGTTCACAATTTCCGTTTCATGAGACGGAACAATACACCACACCGCCACCAAACAACACGCAATACGAAAATGCGTGTCCTCAACACCCATGGTTACCCACCATCACCAACAACTTCACTATGACGGATGGTGTTCAACACCTGACTGTCGCCCTAACACTAGGTTCTAGCCCAGAAACCCCTACAACACCAACAATGCGCTGTGCCAATTATAACAGCCCAGCAAGCCAGCTAGGTTTTCTGTGTGCAGAAACTATCCACGTCTATCAGCCTACGTACCCACAGTTCTCTTCTGCTGACTGTGGTGAGGTGAGGTGAAGCGCCGTGCAGTGCAGAGTTCCCCTCGTAAATTACACCTGGCGATCCTGCCGTTTCAGTCAGGCAGCTTTCGGCGACGAATCACAGAGGCTATTGTGTTTCGCCTTTTTGTTGCCTAGCCTGGTTCCAGTCTGTCTTGAAGCTCCCACTTGGTCTAGCATCTAGGCTAAGCACCCTTGGAGGCAATGGCAGCATTTCGAGATAGATACACTACTCAACTCTCGCCCTTAATGATTTTTCCCACATCGGCAGCTTTTGCGCTTCTAGTGGCTTCTGTTATCGGGTCATAAAACAATTCGCAAGTGACGCTATGATTAATATTTTCTGCTCAGGCTGAGAGTATCTAAAAGGCGTGAGGATAATCTTACCTCGTTATACTGTTGCGCCATAGATTTAGCTTCTGCCGCGCGCTTTCCCGTTATGGCGATCGCAATGGATCAAATCCCAGGTCATCGTATCTATAGTCCGAAGATTTCGCCAGCGAGACTGACTCCTCTTCGCTGTTTTAGTGCGAGGGGGGATCCCGAAGCGAGTGAGAGATGCCTTCCCGCCGCCTTTCGGGCAGCCGACGTTCCGGTTTCCGGGTGGCGAGGAGAGCGAGGAATATCCTTCCCGCCTTTCGGGCAGCCGACGTTCCGGGCGTTCGGGCGTTCCAGCATTCGGCCATCTTGGTCGTCCGCAGCACGGAGTTGACCTTGAAGCGACGGATCGAACTAGTACAAAGGGACACGCAGAACCACCCATTAGTGCATTCTTTGTTTACAAGCTCCTACAACTCTCTGCTCTCTCATCTGAGAACTCTCCTCTCCCGCGCGGTTCCATACCTGGAAGTTACCGTTTTCTTAACCGTCGCCGTCTAACCTGATTGTCTCCACTGCACTACCACTAATACTTCCACTACGTCCGACAATCTGAGCAGCCATGCTTGCGGTCGCGTCATCAACAGCTCGTCGCTACCACGTCTACGGCTCGTTTTCCCCGCCTGCGGTCCGAATTGACGGCCTAGATCCGTCGGAACGACAGGTGTCAACGGTCGCGATGGCTCGTTTCGTCAGCGATCCAGGCGCGCTGAAATCTCAGCCTCGCGTTGACGCTTCTACAGCCGCCGCGCCTGCTGACGTGGCGCCAGCCGTCGCTGGCGCGGGGACATTTCTCCGCCCCACGCCTCCGCGCAGCCCGCGCGAAGGCCCCAGCGCGACGCTCGGGTTCCGCCACCGCCGCTGGCACTCGTTCAGCGGCATTCAAGAAATTTCGGGGGAATGCGGAGTTTGTGGCAAACCGGAGTCCCTGGATGGTGCTTATATTTACTATCCTCCACGTGTGCCGCGCCCGTCTACAGTTACGGCTGCGGCTGCTTCTGCGGCTGCTGCTGTGTCATCGTCTCGTCTCCCCACACCCGCCGTTGCAGCGCAATATCCTGTACTCCCCGCAGCTACTGCTGCTGCTACGACGTCACCGCCTCCTGCTGAAGCCATGTGGCCGCCAAGCCAGAGTCATGGCTCTGAAACCCTGGCACGACGGCGTCTGGCCCGGCACAGGCGCACACGGTCAGTGGAAGCAGTGATGGAGCGTTCTGAAATGGCGGGGCAGAGCACTTCAATGGGCCAGGCCAGTGCAATGGCTCCCTCATGCTCCATGCCCTTCCCACGAGCCTTCATGGCCGTACAGTCACCGCATGGGTTACGACGAGCGCGCTCCGCTGGAAAGCAGTCTCCCTGCGAGGCAGGTACAAGCTTTCCGAAGTCGCCTCGCAGTGGCCCTTCCTCCTCCTCCTCCTCCTCTGCCTCCTCCTCGTCGCCGTCAACACCCCTCTCTCCTCCTCCCCTTTCTCCTCCTCCCCTCTCTCCTCCTCCCCTCTCTCCTCCTTCCCTCTCTCCTCCTCCCCTCTCTCCTCCTCCCCTCTCTCCTCCTCGCTTGTCTCCGCCGCCCCTGTCCGTGCTCTCATCCTCAAAGCCCATCTCTCCGCTGTCACAATCGAAACCCACCTCTAGATCGTCGCGATCAAGACCCGTTGCTGGCCCGTTGGCATCAGGGCGTTATTATATCCCAGATTCTTTTATGCAGCCAAGCTGCGACGCTACATCCTCCAGTTCTCCTGCTAAGGCAGCAGTAGGAGGAGGAGGAGCAGCTTCTGCTGCATGCACAAGTGGGGATCTCAAGGGTACAATTGTGGTGCAGGCTACAAGCAGCAGTGGCATGGCAAAAAGCAGTGTCGGAAATGGCAAGAGCTTGGCCCCAGGAACACCAAGTCAGGCGATTCCCATTCCTGCTGGCAGCACCGGTGATGCAAGCAGGTCATCTTCTTCTCAGTCGCCTAAGAACAAACGGCGTGTGCGCTTTAACAAGATGGTGCAAGTCAGAATCTTCTTTGATTGATACCTGGTACCGTCATCGCCCGGATAGAAGACATACCGTATGTCCTATCTTATACGTACATTAGAAAAAAAGCTTGCTGTGTCTTGTATTTGGGACGGTTTAGGGTGTCATATAATTCTTATAAATGGGCGAAAAACCGTTTAGAAGATACCCCGTCGTCATAAGATTACCCCTAACCCCTACACACTGACAGGTGTCTTATAATCAGGAAAACCCATCTATAAGATACACCCATTTCAAAGACACCCCCTATCTTCAATTCGATACTGTCTTATATCCGGGCGATAATGGCGGTAAGTAGCATACGGTACAGGCATTTGGAATATTTGTATATTAGGCTAACCAAACTACCAGGTGATCCCTGTACAAATTCTAATAAAGCTTTACTGCATCTGAAGTATCTGCCCGCACCCTGATCAGATCTTAGACTCACCTCTTTGACACATTAATTGCATGAATACCATGCTCTCTGACACATGTACCAGTTCTCTGATTTTGCATCTTCAAATACGGTACTGACATCTTGAAATGCTAGTGCGTATGGTTTCCTTGTTTTGCGTGTAGAAACAAAACTGTTGATATCGAGGAATTACCGAGTTATTACTCAGGTGTTACAGCATCTTCGACAATCCCTTCTCGTTTTCCACCAGCACCACCAGCCTGACAGAATCTAGGAGTCTAGGAATCTGGGAATCTACTGACGTAGGAATGACATGAAAATCCGATCGCACACAGCGAGGCGCGTTCTCCGTAGAAATAGAAACGCCTGGACTCGAATCAGTGTGCACCGCGATTTCTGCGACGCGTTTTCGGACATCATATGCTTTCCTGCTAGGTCTCACGACGCCTCTGAATGTTGAGTTCATGAGTTCGTTGACGCCCTTTCATCCGCTTTATGTCGTGTGGCGTACACCACAGATTCCATCTGTCGTTGTAAAATACTTCTCAGACGTCTCAACAGTTGTTAAGGAGTCGTCGCCGGTTCGGCCTTTTGTTTTGAGTCAACTCAAAGCTTGGATCGGCCTGATATCAGCCGTCTTGCTTGTCGGGTGCTGCTGCGAATTCAGACTGTCGTCGCGTTGTAGAATAGAAAGTATACGTCTCGTGCCTTTTGAGTCGACTCAAAAGTCATCTCGACTGTCGTCGCGTAGTAGAAAGTAGACATCTCGTGCCTGTGCAGTTCGCGCGCGTAAGAGCTCGTAAGAGGAAGGTATTGTCGCGTTTGGCACTGACGATGCGAGTTCGCTTGGTTTTTATTTTTCCTCTCAGCCGTAGAAATAGCTCGTCCTTCTCATACGACAAAGCCCGGTTTGGCGCCGGTCGCAACGGACGAAATTGAAGCCATTAATCTGGACTTTTCTAGCCGCCCATACCTTTCCTTGTCAAGCCTTTGGCGCCTTTTGGCGGCGAGCGCGGCGGGTGCAACGGAGCGGATCGAGGGTCTTTTCCCGGCCTTTTCAGGCCTGGTGTACCTTTTCGTCTACTTGCGAGTCCTGGTTCGCCGCACAGCACGCATCATGTTGGCCAGGGTGAGTGTGAGCGGCTAGGGTGATTGTGGAACTTCATCATTACTAGTTGTGAAACGTCTCAGAAGGCGGATCGAGGGTCTGTTTCCGGCCTTTTCAGGCCTGGTGTACCTCCTCGTGTACTTGCGAGTCCTGGTTCGCCGCACAGCACGCATCATGCTGGCTAGGGTGAGTGTGAGCAGCTTCTGAAAAGGATGATGTCATGAGGTGCCTCTGAAGGCGTCGCTTGTGCCTCCTGGTTCAACCGCACGGCCCCATCATGCTGGCTAGGGTGAGTGTGAGACCCTTTCAACAGGCGTTCGGATTTTTGCTCATGTCTTTTCAACACCATCACTGGTGGGTCAGGGTCCGGGCTGTATTGAGCGCATGCATGAACCAACCTCTTTGCCGTGTTACAGCCATGTTTTTGAATCCCCGACATTGCTCCACGCACACCGGTGTTCAAGCCCCGTGCCATATCAGACCTCCTTTCTGCCCCCCACTCACAGGTTTTCAACCCCCCATCATTGGTGGGTCAGGGTTCGAGCTGTATTGAGCGCATGCATGAAAACCCCTTGGTCATGTGCAAGCCATGTGTGTGAAGTGAACCCCCTTTCTTCTCGACCCTCAGGTGTTCAACACCATCATGGGAGGCCAGGGTCGAAGCTGCAGCGCGCGCTGGGAGACGCGAACCCCTGATTCATTCGTTTGTGTGTGGAAAGCAGGTGTTCGACCTCCCTTTACTATATCGAACCCCCTTTCTGTCCCCCACTCACAGGTGTTCAACACCATCATCGGGGGGTCGGGGTCGAAGCTAGAGCGGGCGTTGGGAGATGCGAACCTTTTTGTCTGTGGAAAGCGGGTGTTCGACCCCCCCTTGCCATGCCAAACCCTGTTTTCTGACCCCCACTCACAGGTGTTCAACACCATCATCGGGGGGTCGGGGTCCAAGTTGGAGCGGGCGCTGGGAGATGCGTTCCCGGAGGGGGAGCGGTACTCTGGCCTCGAGCCCAGGCGTGAACCCCTGCCATATTGACCCCCTTTCATTGCTCCCCACTCACAGGTGTTCAACACCATCATCGGGGGGTCGGGGTCGAAGCTAGAGCGGGCGCTGGGAGATGCGTTCCCAGAGGGGGAGAGGTACTTTGGCCTCGAGAATTTCGGCAACACGTGCTACTGCAACAGCGTGCTGCAGGTGAGTCAACGTGTAGGTTCTTCTCGGTGCGTGTGGGTGCGTGTGGGTGCTTTGAGGTGCGTCCAGGCACCAACGGCAATAAGAGCCATTGCAACAGCGTGCCAGTGCAACAGGTGAGTCAACATTGTAGGTGCTATTAGGGGATTTGGGCGCTGGGAGATGCGTTTCCCGAGGGGGGGAGGCTTGGCCTCGAGAATTCTGGCAACATGTGCTACAGGTGAGTCAACACTCTGGGATTTGTATTTGGATTTGTATTTGGATTTGTATTTGGATTTGTATTTGGATTTGGGCGTTTGCTCTCCTTTTTCGGCAGATTAGGGCTACGCCAGGCCCTGTTCCTCATTTTCTGCAGGTGCTATGCCAAGCAGGTACCAATGAGTCCGAAAAGTCTCCTTATTTAGTCACAACTGTACATCCTCACCCCCATCCCCCCTACCCGCTACGCCATTCACTAACCCTCCCTTCAGGCGCTGTGCTTTTGTGTGCCGTTCCGCGAGAACCTTCTGGACTACTACGCCAAGCACAAGCCCAGAAAGCTTCGCAAGACTTTGTTCTCATTTTCCGTGTGCTTTGTCTTTACCACTGCACTGCACCACATTGCACCACATTGCACCACATTGCACCACATTGCACCACATTGCACCACATTGCACCACATTGCACCACACCGCACCACATCTTATGACCCACTCCAGGCGCTCTACTTCTGTGTGCCATTCTGCGAGCACCTGCTTGACTACTACGCCAAGCACAAGCCCGGATTGTTCAATCTCTTTTGTGTGTACTTTGTTATTACCACCACTTTGCACCACATTGCACCGCACCACCCACGCCAGGTGCTCTACTTCTGTGTGCCGTTCTGCGAGCACCTGCTTGACTACCACGCCAAGCACAAGCCTGCGAACGAGTCCGAGGATACCCTCTTTACCTTGGAGGGACACAGCTTCTCACCTCTTTTCCTCCTCATCACACGACGCCGCACCGCGACGCACCGCACTGCACCATATCTTACCATACCACCCACTCCAGGCGCTCTACTTCTGTGTGCCGTTCCGCGAGCACCTTCTTGACTATTACGCCAAGCACAAGCCAGCCAACGAGTCCGAGGAGACGCTCCTCACGTGCCTCGCAGAGCTCTTCAACCAGGTGAGTCTCACTCTCAGTGAACCAGGTGAGTCTCACTCTCAGTGAACCAGGTGAGTCTCACTCTCAGTGAACCAGGTGAGTCTCACTCTCAGTGAACCAGGTGAGTCTCACTCTCAGTGAACCAGGTGAGTCTCACTCTCAGTGAACCAGGTGAGTCTCACTCTCAGTGAACCAGGTGAGTCTCACTCTCAGTGAACCAGGTGAGTCTCACTCTCAGTGAACCAGGTGAGTCTCACTCTCAGTGAACCAGGTGAGTCTCACTCTCAGTGAACCAGGTGAGTCTCACTCTCAGTGAACCAGGTGAGTCTCACTCTCGTGAACCAGGTACGCCTCAGACTCGTTGCACCTTACCCTCTTGGACTCCCTCGCACCAAGCACAATCCCTTTCGAGTCGAGTCAAGAGCTTGCTTCAGTCACCTGCTGGATTACTGCGCCAAGCACAAGCCTGCCAACGAGGTGATGTTTTAGGTGCCTCTAGAATCACCTAGGCGCCTCAAAAATCACAAGAGCTTGCTTCAGTCACCTGCTGGATTACTGCGCCAAGCACAAACCTGCCAACGGGTCCGGGGAGAGCTCTTCGACCAGGTGTGGTGTGGTGTGGTGTGGTTAGGTTTGGTTTGGTTTGGATGCGGCTTGCAGGTATGCCTCAGTCTCAGCTCACCAGGTACACCTTTCTTTTTTGAACAAGTGCTTGTCAGGTGCTTGTCAGGTGCTTGTTAGGTGCTTGTTAGGTGCTTGTTAGGTGCTTGTCAGGTGCTTGTTAGGTGCTTGTTAGGTGCTTGTCAGGTGCTTGTCAGGTGCTTGTCAGGTGCTTGTCAGGTGCTTGTCAGGTGCTTGTCAGGTGCTTGTCAGGTGCTTGTTAGGTGCTTGTTAGGTGCTTGTCAGGTGCTTGTTAGGTGCTTGTTAGGTGCTTGTCAGGTGCTTGTCAGGTGCTTGTCAGGTGCTTGTCAGGTGTGCTCCAGACTCGTTTTAAGAATCATCTGTAAGGCACTTTTATGATTCGTCTTCCTGTCCTGATTCCTCGCATTTTCCCCTTCCAACCCCTCTCCCTCTCTGCTCGCTCCCTCACGGCAGATCAACTCACAGAAGCGCAAGACGGGGTTCATAGCGCCGCGCCACCTCCTGCTTTTGGGTCATCCACGTTTCCTTATTGCCATACATCACTCTATCACTCTCCCCCCCCCCCCCCCCCCCACCCCCACCACCTCTCTCTGCTCGCTCCCTTTCTGCAGATAAACTCGCAGAAGCGCAAGACGGGGGTCATAGCGCCTCGCCGCTTCGTGCAGCGAGTGAAGAAGCAGAAGGAGCTGTTCCGCAGTTACATGCACCAGGTGAGATTTCAGACAACAGGTGAAAATGCTGCACCAGGTGAGATTTCAGACAACAGGTGAAAATGCTGCACCAGGTGAGATTTCAGACAACAGGTGAAAATGCTGCACCAGGTGAGATTTCAGACAACAGGTGAAAATGCTGCACCTGGTGAGATTTCGGCATTAGGTGAAGACTCATGCAGCAGGTGAAGCTTCAGGCATCAGGTGAAAATGCATGCACCAGGTGAAATCAGGTGAACGTTCAGCCAACAGGTGACATCTCAGACATCAGGTGAAAAAACAGAAATCAGGGCAAATCTTGGACATCAGGTGAAAAAACAGAAATGAGGGCAAATCTTGGACATCAGGTGAAAAAACAGAAATCAGGGCAAATCTTGGACATCAGGTGTATGTTGATGAGGTGAAATTTCAGTCATCAGGTGAAAAGGGTGAAATTTCAGTCATCAGGTGAAAAGGGTGAAATTTCAGTCATCAGGTGAAAAGGGTGAAATTTCAGTCATCAGGTGAAAAGGGTGAAATTTCAGTCATCAGGTGAAAAGGGTGAAAATAATATCCCACGTGAAGTTGCTGGCGCTATTTCCCAGTGCCCTGATGTTACTCCCATAACACCGTCCCTGTTCCTAGCCTAAGAGTTCCTCAATTATCTTCTGAACGAGCACATCCTTCTGCACCCTCCTTCTGTGCACATCCCAGAGAAGGAGGCTGCAGTGTCTCCGCTTACCCGTTTGCCACCCTGCCGCCCTGCCGCCCTGCCACCCTGCCGCCCTGCCGCCCTGCCACCCTGCCGCCCTGCCGCCCTGCCGCCCTGCCACCCTGCCGCCCTGCCGCCCTGCCACCCTGCCGCCCTGCCGCCCTGCCACCCTGCCGCCCTGCCGCCCTGCCGCCCTGCCGCCCTGCCACCCTGCCGCCCTGCCGCCCTGCCGCCCTGCCGCCCTGCCGCCCTGCCTCCCTGCCGCCCTGCCGCCCTGCCGCCCTGCCTCCCTGCCGCCCTGCTGCCCTGCCGCCCTGCCTCCCTGCCGCCCTGCCGCCCTGCCGCCCTGCCGCCCTGCCTCCCTGCCGCCCTGCCGCCCTGCCGCCCTGTCGCCCTGCCGCCCTGCCTCCCTGTCGCTTGCAGGACGCCCATGAGTTCCTGGTTGGCCATCTCAAGGAGCTCGTGGGCATCCTAGAGAAGGAGGCACGGGCACGCAGAGCAGCAGAGGCCTCAGGCCTCTCCCGTCCCTTTCCTGCCTCAGATGTTGAACGTCATTTTGCTCTCCGCTTCCTCCCGCCCAACCCCCCCCATCCCCCACGATCTCCCATGAGGACGCACATGAGTTCCTCAACTTCCTTCTCAACGAGCTGGTGGACATTCTAGAGAAGGAGGCAGCAGATGCATACACTCCACGCACCCACTTGCCACCCCTGCCCTGTCCGTTCCTCCCCTCCCTCCGCCCCACCCCTACCCCAACCCCCATCAGGACGCACATGAGTTCCTCAACTTCCTTCTCAACGAGCTGGTGGACATTCTAGAGAAGGAGGCACGGGCCGGCAGGGCGGAGGCGGGGAGGATTATCCACCCCAACCTTCCTGCTGCTACTGCTGCTGCCCCTGCTGCTGCGCCGGGTGCTTCTAGTGGTGGTGGTGCTGTTGCTGCTGTTAGGTCGGAGGGAGGGGCGAGAGGGAGTGAGGGGGCGGGGGAGGGGAGGGAGGGCGATGGGGGAGGGGCGAGTGCAGCAGCAGCGGAAGGGATACCCGCTGGTTCGGGTTCTTCTGCTGCGTCTGCTGCTGTTGCTGCATCTGTTGCTGCAGCAGCCACAGCAGCTGGGGTTGGGGCGGGGGGAGCAGCTGCTGGGAGTGCTGTTGGTGGTGGGGGCGGCAGTGGGGCGAAACCAACGGTGGTGACATGGGTGCATGAGATATTCCAGGTGTGTGCTGCTGAGGGGTGTGTGTGTGGCTATCCATGCGTGTGGTGGGGCTGGGAGTGGGACGTGCTGGGACTGGAGCTGGGGCAGGGAGAGGAGCAGTTGCTGGGAGACAGCAGCTGTTGGGAGTGCTGGTGGTGGTGGGGGTGGCAGTGGGGTGAAACCGACAGTTGTGACATGGGTGCATGAGATATTCCAGGTGTGTGCTGCTGAGGGGTTTGTGGCTATTTATGTAATTTCTGGGGCTGGAAGTGGGGTGTGCTGGGTCTGGGGTGGGGGGAACAACTTTTGGGAGTGCTGGTGGGGGTGGCAGTGGGGCGAAACCGACAGTGGTGACATGGGTGCATGAGATATTCCAGGTTCGTTTTCATATCAGTGCTGTCTGGTGGTGTGTGCTGCTGGGTGTGTGCTGCTGGGGCGTGTCCTCCTTCATCCTCCCTCCCTTCTCCCTCCTTCCTACCTCCTGCCTCCCTCCTCCCACCTTTCTTCACCTTTCAGATCTCCCTAATTCCAGGGCGCACTGACCAACGAGATGCGCTGCCTGTGTTGTCAGACCGTGACGGCTCCAGACGAGGCCTTCCTGGATCTCTCATTAGAAGACAACCGAGCAGAACAGCAGTGTCACCATTTGCCTGCACAACTTCTCACCCCCTCTCTCCTCCCCCTCCCCGCACTCCACCTCCCCTCACTCGTTTTCCACATCTTTCAGGGTATCCTAACAAACGAGATGCGCTGTCTGTGTTGTGAGACTGTGACTGCTAGAGACGAGGCCTTTCTGGACCTCTCCTTGGACATCGAGCAGACTAGCAGAGCCACCAGCTGCCTGCGCAACCTTCTCTCCCCGTCGCTGCTCCCATTCCAGGGTACCTTAACAAACGAAACCCGTTGTTTGTGCTGTGAAACAGTGACGGCACGGGACGAGGTGTTTCTCGACCTCTCCTTGGACATCGAGCAGACCAGCAGTGTCACCATTTGCCTGCTCAACTTCACACCTTCCTTCACCCCTGCCCATTCCCTTGTTCAACACCCCCCTTCCCCGTTTCCCACGCCTTCCAGGGCACGCTGACCAACGAGACACGCTGCCTGTGCTGTGAGACGGTGACCACTAGAGACGAAGCCTTCCTGGACCTGTCTTTAGACATCGAGCAGAACAGCAGTATCACCAGCTGTCTGCGCAACCTTCTCTCCTCCCTCTCTCTTCCATACCCCTCTCTCTCCACAATACCCCTCTCCCTCCGACCCTCCCGTCTCCCCCCTCCCGCTCCCACCCTCCCGTCTCCCCCCCCAGGGCACACTGACAAATGAGACGCGCTGCCTGTGCTGTGAGACGGTGACCGCTAGAGACGAGGCCTTCCTTGACCTGTCTTTGGACATCGAGCAGAACAGCAGTATCACCAGCCACTTGCACCCCTTCCTTCCCCCCCCCCCTTCCCCCTCCCACCCTCCCCCTTCCCCCTCCCTCCCTCCTGCCCCTCATACGTTTCCCACATTTTCCAGGGTACGTTGACGAATGAGACGCGCTGCCTGTGCTGTGAGACGGTGACTGCTAGAGACGAGGCCTTCCTTGACCTCTCATTGGACATCGAGCAGAACAGCAGTGTCACCAGCTGTCTGCGCAACTTCTCCTCCACGGAGACTCTCAACGGCAACGACAAGTTCTTCTGTGACACCTGCTGCAGGTGAGAGTGGGACAGGGAACCTTGTAGGGATGTCAGTAAGTGAAGATGGTCCGCTGGTTTTCTAAGAGGTCAGCAGGTGCAGGTGGGAGTGTCACCAGCTGTCTGCGCAACCTCTCCTCCACAGAAACTCTGAATGGCAACGACAAGTTCTTCTGTGACACGTGCTGCAGCAGGCACTTCAAGTTTATGGAGCAGCTGGGGCGCTACAAGAAGCTGTCTCACCCCTCACCCCATTCCCTCTCCCCCTACCACCCCTCCAGCCTGCAGGAGGCACAGAAGAGAATGCGAATCAAGGTGCCACCGAGAGTGCTCGCCCTGCATCTGAAGCGCTTCAAGTTTATGGAGCAGCTGGGGCGCTACAAGAAGCTGTCCTACCGGGTCGTCTTCCCCCTCCACCTGGGCCTCTGCCTCTTCCTTCTTTACCCCTCTCACCTGCCCTTTCCTCTCCTCGTCCCTTCGTCCCTTCCCTCCCTCCTCCCCTCCCTCCCCTCCCTTCAACCGCCCTCACCAGTCTACAGGAAGCACAGAAGAGAATGCGAATCAAGGTACCCCCAAGGGTTCTCGCCCTGCATCTGAAGCGCTTCAAGTTCATGGAGCAGCTGGGGCGCTACAAGAAGCTCTCCTACCGGGTCGTCTTCCCGCTCCACCTGCGCCTCTGCAACACCGTCGACGACGCGCCCGGCGCCGAGGCCGAGTATTCCCTCTTCGCTGTGATAGTCCACGTGGGGAGCGGGCCCAACCACGGGCATTATGTGGCTCTCGTGAAGAGCCACAGCCACTGGTTGTTTTTTGACGATGAGAACGTGGAGCAGATAGATGAGTCGCTCGTTCAGACGTACTTTGGGTCGTCGCAGGACTATTCGAGTAACACGGATCATGGGTACTTTTTGTTCTATCAGTGCATGCAGCCGGAGCTGCTGCAGGGTCCAGGGGCTGATGCTGCTGCCGTTACTGGGGGTGCTACTAGTGCTGCTGGTGCTTCTGCTAATGCTCCTGCCTCAGGGTCTGTTTCTGGTATTTCTGGAGGAACTGGTGCGGGTGCCACTGCTACTGCTGTTGAGGCAGTTTCTGCTGCTGGCGAGGGCTGAGCTGAAGTGCCAGCGAAAGCACGGGTGTGTGAGGTTATGGGGCTTGGTAATTGGAAATTAGTGCAAGTGTAGATTGCCGGGGGTCACAGGGTTCTCAAAACACTTTGGAACTAGGTCATCAGCTTCGCTTGCTTTGAGCAAATTCGATCATGCTGTTGCACACAGGCTACCGGTACTACTGCTGCTGACGATGCGGATCAGCTGTGGCAGGATTGTTGCTGGAAGATTCGATCGATGGTGCCTGGTGTAACCCAAGTCACTGTGGTGTGGGTGCAGCTAATGTTGATGCTGTATGAAGTCCACAAGTTTCCCGTGCGTTAATCAAATTTGCAAAAAAAAAAAAAACATTTTGATCTCAATAATCATAGGAATGAATTTAAACGGACTTTATCAGATACACTCAGGGCCTAAAAACAATGTGCATTGTGTCGAGAATGTGTTTACTATCCCTGGCCACCCAACTTCGAACCGCCATCTGAATCTTGTCCCTCGTAACACCACTCAACTCCCAAGGTCCCAGGAGAAGTCCTCCATTCACGGGTGCCCACGCGGAGGGTACATTTCCAACTTTCACCGAACAAAGTAGATACGATTGGACAGCGCCAAACTGTTAGGTCCGGGAAGGAGCATATCCAGGACAGCGCGCCAACGACGCATAGTCGCACTTGCTCCATTTGTTTCTCCAAGGCCATCCATTCGTTTCGTCTGGTCTGGTCCCCCGGCTGGTCCGCGCAGGACTTGTGAGGGCGAGGAAAAAATGGAAGAAACATGTACAGCTGCAAATTCGTGCTGGAGTTTGGTTGGAAACCCAAGTGGTGGTGACGTGCCTCGTACTGTAACGCGGTCTCCTCCTCGCGACGTTTGGCTGTACAGGTCGCGAGTTCCGCACAAACGGTTCAGGGATTGTGGAGGAGTTGGTGGCGCAAGGATGTGGTTGTGGTTTTATTCGTTATCTAGGTTTTGCGATGGTTACAAAACGGTTCATTCTGTCGACTAAGCCGTGCTCCTGCTCAGCCGCTTTGGAGGTGCAGGAGGATCGATCGTCCCACGCAATTGGACTCGGCGGAGAGAGTCCGGAAATGACCAAATTAGGGCCAAAGAACAGCAGAGAAGTAGCCGAATTAGGGCCGCGTGAGTCGCACCCCTTCGAAGCGCCGCAACTAGCCCGAACATTTTTTTCAACCTAAACACCCATTAAGCTGACGGAATTTTGTTTAGAAACAGGTCAGCCCTAAACAACTTCTCGCAGAGTGTTTAGGGTTGTTTTTTCCCTAAAAGCATGCCATCCAATAGGGTTTATATTTGTTATGGCTCGAAAATAAATTTTAGGCTCGTACGCAGGTTCGGACCTTCGTACTAGGGGTGCGAGTCACGCGGCACTAATGAAGCGGAGTTTGCAACAATTTTCTGCCTCTCCAGCCAGCCGCTGGTTCCGCTTGTTTCAAGGGGCTCTCATCGTCGCCAGGACCTCATTTTCCTTACCTGTGACCTCGCTTCGGCAGCCCGGCTGTGGCTTTGGCTTCGATCTTGCCACTCTTCTACAGGCACACGATTCCGTTCCACCATCGGAATCTCTGTTTGGCGGGCCTGGGGGATTATTAGTCGGACTGTTGGTTCAGTTAGATGGTTCATCAGCTGCCCGCTGCCAAAATATATCAAACCCTTCTCAGAGTCTAGTTTTATTCGTGCCCGTGGTCACATGACGGCCGAACGTCCGTCAATCGCGACCGGCGACGGCCAAGTGCCCCTCGTAGATCGCCGTTCGCCGGCTAATCGCCGTTGGTCGGCTAATCGCCAATACTCGGCTCGGTCTGCTTGACTGGACACGTTCACTTGCCTTTCCCCCGCCAAGTGTGCTTTCCCCGTCCGTCAAGTTTGCAGTGTTGACAGTCATCGTTCAGTGGACGGACACGGCTCCGTTTACGATTCTCTCTATTTTACCTCGAGCACGTAAAGCCACATGCAGTATAGACATTGTAACGTGCCGTTGAATGGAACCGAGGAACGCGAGCTCGTCAGGCATTGTTATTCGGAGCATAGCTGAGGGTACTAGCTAGTAGCCGTTCTTTACGGTAGAGATCCCTCCAAAAAGTGACCGCTACAGTCATCAGGAATGTTTAATTATTTCCTTCGAAATCATCAAACCTGTCTTTAGCTGCATATTGTCGTCCCACTGTTAGAGCCAAGGAGTGCGCCTGTTTCGTAACAGCTCGATACGTTACAGCCCATGCAAGTATGAACTGTCGGCTTTGACCGTTTGGCGTTTTTCCAGGTGACACGTATATGAGTCGTCTTTGCGTTGACGCCTGAGGTTGCTGCCTCATACGCTATAGTCGGATCGATTCGCAGTTAAAGAAGAAAAAAGGATTTTGTCGACACAAGCAGTCGCTTTGGTTCTAGTCATCATATGCAAGAAACTGACCGTTGAAAAACAATAAAACCGGTTGATTCGTCGACAATGTGGCTCGTAGAAGTGCCAGGATCGTGGGTCTCCGATGATTCCGCAATTAAGGACGCATTAGAAGCTTCCTGGTCGTTTCTTCAGCAAGTGCTTACGTTACCCTCTGCCGCGTCTCAGGCGGGACGGCAGCATCGCCAGCAACAGCTAAGCCACCCGTCAGCTAAGGCGTCAAAACCGAAAGAAAATGCTGACGTCATTATTGTTCTAGTATCGGTTGTGATAAATTCGAGCGTTCGAAAACCTTCAGAAGCGTCACGCGTGCGGGGTGCGCGTGCTACTAGCGCGAATGAGAGAAGCCGTGGCGATGATGACTCGGAGAAGGAGGATCGGATCTGGAGGGACCTGTTGAAGCCTCTCCTGCAGCGAGCCATGGCGATGGGCAAGGTGAGAGTCGCGAAGGTGAGCGAATTTAGGGTTACAGCTTGGACGGTGAGAAGATCGAGGATGAGGAGGAAGTCAGATCTAGAATGATAAATTGTTGAGGGCATCGAATGTAGCCGTTTTGAAGGTAAACGTTAGCGATCGAGGCTGTTATGGGTAGTTCGTGTCGTATGAGGGTAAAATGTCAGTTTCGAGTGAGGGTGATGTCAGTCTCGCATTCTCTTCTTCCATACTCTCCGTTTCCCCTGTCCCTCCCAGGCAATGGTAATCGGCCACGTGGAGCGCAGCACCTCTCGAGCAGACGGCCTCTGCGCCGCGGCTTGCTGGTTCCCCGCATCTCGCCTCTACGCAACACCCGCCGCCGCCGCCGCCACCGCCGCCGCAACCGGCCCCACCACCGCCGCCGCCGCTGCAGCAGCCACTGCAGGAATCGATCTGCTGCCATCGCTGCGCCTCGCCTACCCCTCCTCCGATCTCGGCCTTCCGCTGACGTTCGCCAGCAGCCTGCCTTTAACTTGCAAGCTCGCTACAATCACCTCTTCCAATAGCCACTCGCGGAACGGCTCGCTAACGGAGATAGACGAGAACGGGCCGAGCGCAGACGGGTGGGAAAATGGGGGAGAGATTGCGGGGGAAAATGCGGGGGAGGCCGGGGGGGAGAGTAGGGGGGTGCAGCGGTGCAGCTTTAGCACAGACGATGGGGTGAGCGTGGGGGGGAGCAGCGTGAGCAGCAGATGGAGTACGAGTAGCAGCGGCAGCTGCGCCAGCAGGAGCAGTAGCAGTGGGGGTAGCAGATGCATCAGCAGTGGCAGCAGCAGCAACAAAAGCGACTCCCAGAGGATTGCGCAGCTTTTCCCGCCAGATTCTCTCCCGCCAGTAGCTCCCTACTCATCTAGTGCAAGTGCTTCTGGTCTCTCCTCCGCGCTGCCACGGGGGGCATCGTCCGCTTCCTCTTCCTCTTCCTCCTTCGTCTCGTCCTCCTCTTCCTCCTCCGCTTCCCTCTCCTCTTTGTCCTCTTTCTTCACCTCGCATCCCTCCTCCCTTTCGTCCTCTTCCCTCTTCTCCTCCTCCTCTTCTTCTACCTCCTCCGCCTCCGCCTCCGCCTCCGCCTCCGCCTCCGCCTCCGCCTCCTCCTCCGCTTCCTCCTCCGCTTCCGCCGCCTCCTCTATCTCATACGAGCTGACGCGCTACCCCTGGCACGAGGAGGAGAAGCAGCGGAGCTTCAAGGAGCGCCAGCCTCTGCCGCGCTTGCAGCATCAGCTGTTGCAGGTGCGCAAGCCCACGCTCGCCCCCGCACCAATCCAACGCCGCTACACTCACAACGCCGACCGCCCACGCAGCACCACCACTAGAATTTCCGTCAACAGTAGTATCAGCATCGCCAGCAGCAGCAGCACTAGCAGCAGCAGCAGCAGCAGCAGCAGCAGCAGCAGCAGCAGCAGCAGCAGCAGCAGCAGCAGCAGCAGCAGCAGCAGCAGCAGCAGCAGCAGCAGCAGCAGCAGCAGCAGCAGCAGCAGCAGCAGCAGCAGCAGCAGCAGCAGCAGCAGCAGCAGCAGCAGCAGCAGCAGCAGCAGCAGCAGCAGCAGCAGCCGCGCCCTCACTTGGTTCACGGTTGCTGAAGCCCCTGCAGGCCCAGCCGTCGCTCCCCTCTCCTCTACGCTTCCCACTCTTTCAGACGCCCCAGTTCCTGCTGCTGAGATTATCAGCAAGGCTATTACAGGCCCCGCCACGGCACCCTTAGCTTCTACTCGTCCCACCGTCTCAGACGGCCCAAGTTCTCTCATCAGGTTCCCGTCCTTCCAGAACGGTTCGGAGCACCTGGGCTCAGGTGGTGCTTCAGGTGGAATGTGTAGAGACGTGGGGCTGGAATCTGGGGGTTTCGAAGTTACAGAACCAGCAGCGCAGTCAGCAGCAGGTGCAGCCAGAGGAGGTGGGGTGTTAGGTGCTGCTGGTAACGCTTCTGCTGGTAACGCTGCTGTTACTGGTGGTGCAGCAAATGCTGCTGCTGCTGCTGCTGGTGCTACTGCTGCTGGTGCTGGTGCTGGTGCTGCTGGTGCTGGTCCTAGTGCTGGTGCTGCTGGTGCTGATGCTGATGCTGATGCTGCTGCTGCTGCTGGTGCAGGCGTTCCGCGTGTTAGGAGGAACCGTCAAAGGGGCCTCAGCAGGAGCAGCAGCCTGGACAGAATCGACTTCTCCGACTGGGAAGGCGAGCTGGAAGGGGGGGGAGGAGGAGGAGCAGGAGAAAGATTAGGAGGAGGAGGATTGGGGGCCAGTGAGTGCAGCAGCAGGGCAGAAGTGTCTGCTTCACACGCGCCCAATCCTTCTGGTGTAAGAGAAGATCGCGTTTGGGGACCTCGGGAGGGTGTGGTGGGCAGTGTTGGGAGCAGTGATCCGGGAGTGAGTGAGAAACGGGAGGCTGTAAAGGAGGGTCGAAGCGGTGCTGTGCGCGACAGGGTGTCAGAGGGGGGTGCGTTGGCTGGCGGGGGGTTGGCAAGCGAGGGATTAACAGGCAGGGGATTGGCAGCGGGGGGTTTCCTGGGCGGGGTGATGGCGCGGGCGATGGCGCAGCAGCAGGGCAGAGACGCGGTGAGCGCAGGCATGTTCTTTCGCGCTGAGCGGGAGCGCCAGCTGCGCAGGGAACTGAGGGGCGTGGGGAGAGTGGGGGCCGCAGGGGGCGTGGGGGGAGTGGGGAGTGGGAGGGGAGTGAATTTTGGGTCTGCCACCTTGCCTGTTGTTCCGGAGGATTTGGGGCGGACAGGGGGGCAGCAGGGGACAGGGAAGCAGATCGGGGGGCAGCAGAGTCAAGGTCATTCAGCTGAATTTCCTGTTAGACCGGCAATGGGTGAGGTGGAGGGAGGTGTGGGCGGGTGGAGGAAGCAGTGGGCGCATGGGCGCACGCATGGGCGCAACACAGGGCAGGAGACACGGCGAGGGCGGGAGGGAGGCGAGAAAGGAGAGAATGGATCTGGGAGCAAGGGTAGAGTGGAAGGTGGGGGAGGAGGCGAGAGCGAGAGAGGGGCAGGAAGGAAAGGAGGCGTGGAGGGTAGGAAGGGAGTGGAAGGGAGCAGGCAGCGGGCGCGTGGGGGGAGAAAGGCGCAGGGCTTTGAGGGGCTCATGATGGCAGCAGCTGCCATGCAGGGCGATGGGGAAGATGCGAGGGGAGGGGATGACGGGGGGGATGACGGGGAAGGGAGTTTAGGGGAGGGCGACCAGGGGATGAAGAAGGCAAGAAGCTTCCCGGATATGGGCCTGAAGGTGAGAAAATCTGGAGGGGTGTCATTGTAAGGGCCAGGTTCCATGGGCCATGGGCCATGGGAAGGATCCATGGGCCAGAATTCTTTCTTTTGCCTCGCACCAAAGTTGCAAGGCCAGGATTCTTTCTTGTGCCTCTCACACACTTGAAATGCAAGGTTGCAGCACCTGAAGTGTGACCGATCGACTTAGCAATGGAAGTTTAACCGTCGCGTGTGTCAAGTAAGCAAGTCGTCCAGCAATCATGTGGGCGACATTGCAGCAATCATGAGAGCTTTCAAGTGTGAAGCACAAGAAAATCCCTCCCGCCAGGCTTCAAAGGGACAGGCCCTCCCTGTCTGTGTCCGCACAGGCTCTCCCTCCCCTCAAGCAACCGTCTCTCTCATCCCCTAACTTCCCCTCTTTCCAAGCCTTGCCTTGCCCACCTGCGGCGGTTGTCGCTGTGTGTGCAGCAAGAAGCCGTGTTCTCCAACCCATGGGCCCCTTCTAGCAGCGAAAAGACTTCTGAGTCGACTCAATTTTCAGCCCGCACCTCCCCTTTCCCCTCCCCTCCCCTTCCCCCCGTCTCCCCCCTCTTCCCCTCCCCTTCCCCTCCCCTTCCCCTCCCCTTCGCCTCCCCTTCCCCTCCCCTTCCCGTCCCCCGTCACTCCCCGCCAGCCCCCGGAGCAGCCCGCCCCGCGTCGGTCATCGCTGTGTGTGCAGCAAGAAGCTGTGCTCTCCAACCCCTGGGCCGCTGCTGGCATCGAAACCAGCAACACCAGCAGCAGCAGCAGCAGCAGCATGGCAGTTCTGAGAGGGAGCAGTGCAGCAGGCACGGCAGCAGGCACGGCAGACGCACAAGAGCTTTCTCGGAGGCAGCAGAGGAATGGGGAGGGCGAGGGAGAAGGGGATAGGGAGGGGAAAAGGGAAGGGGGTGGGCGGGGAGAGTTAACCGCGGCGGAGATGGCGAGGCGGCAATTGCAGGAAGCACTGGGGGGTGATGAGGAGAATGGGGAAGAGGAAGGGAATAGAAATGGTGAGGGGGGTGGGCAGGGGGAGTTGACAGCGGCGGAGATGGCAAGGCAGCGATTGCAGGAGGCGCTGGGGGGAGATGAGGAAGATGAGGACGACTGGTTGGCGGACGACTTGGGTCTGGGCGCGGCTGTGGTGGCTGCCCGGCGGATTTCCACCAACAGCTGGTCGTCTGGCGCTACGGTGAGTGTTGGGCCCATGTGTGAGTGTGTTAGGTGTGACTTGATTGGGCTGTGCTGGCTGTGGTGGCTGTGCTGGCTGTGGTGGCTGTGCTGGCTGCCAGACGGATCTCCACCAACAGCTGGTCGTCTGGCGCTACAGTGAGTGGTTGAGTGAGCGCAGCCTGAATGGCATCTTCTGCCAGGAGATGGCGGAGTTGGCACAGCGGCATCGTTCCCTCTGTCTCGCTCATTCCTCTCAGCACTCCCGCCCCTGCTCTCTCTCTCTCTCTCTCTCTCTCTCTCTCTCTCTCTCTCTCTCTCTCTCTCTCTCTCTCTCTCTCTCTCTCTCTCTCTCTCTCTCCCTCCCTCCATCCTTTCCCACCAGCCCTCTCGCACAAGCATGCAGCTCAACGGCTTCCTCTGCCAGGAGATGGCTGATCCCACTCAGCGCCTCCGCCTCTTCTTAAACTCCTTCCCCTCCGTTTCCCTCTCTCCCGCATTCCCTCCCTGCACAGCCGTCACGCACAAGCACTCAGCTGAACGGCTTCCTCTGCCAGGAGATGGCTGATCTGGCACAGCGGCTGCGCAGAGACGACCTAGCAACTGGGGGAGGGGCGGGCGCGTCAGCAGTAGCAGGAGGAGGAGGAGGGTCAGGGAGCAACAGTAGCAGCAGCAGCAGAAGCATCTTTGATCATTCGACAGGGTCAGCAGCGGAATGTGCAGCCGTGATGGTGTTAGTGGGGGAGCAGCAGCAGCCGCAGCAGCATCAGGGGCAGCAGCAGCAGCAGACGATTCTTTCTTCCTCGCAGCAGCAGCAGCAGCAGCAGCAGCAGCAGCAGCAGGTGCAGAGGGGGGCCAGTGTGGACTCATGCATGGCAGAGCAAGGCCCCCGCCGCTCTTCCTTCTCAGACTTCACCAGCGAGAGAGAAGGGGCGCGCAGGGAGGAGGGCCTCTCAGGGCGCGTGGAGGGTGAAGGGGAGGTGCAGAGAAGAAACAGCGACAGCTCTCAGCGGCCTGTGTGGTGGGGGAGACGGCTGGGGAGGGAGGAGCAAGGGCAGGGGCAGGGGCAGTGGCAGGGGCAGGGGCAGGAGGGGAAGAGATTTGGGGAGACAGAGCAAGGCGCGGTGCATGTGCAGCATGGGCCCAATGGGCCTGCCTTGGACGTCCCCCCAGCACCTTTCTTAGGAACAACGCCCCCTGTAGCAGCAAAGCCTTGTTCAGCAGCAACAGAGAGGCCTCCATTAGGTACGACAACACCTGATTCTGGTGTTCCCCCTCCCTCCTCCTCCTCCCCCGCCTCCACCTCCGCCTCCGCCTCTGCCTCCTCTCCAGCCCACCCAGCCCCCTCGCCTCCCCGCTGCCTGCTCTTCTCACCTGCTGACCTAGCTACCATCACCGACGGTTTCGCCCAAGAGAACTTTCTTGGAAGCGGCGCGTACGGCCCCGTGTATCGCGGCTGGCTGGATCCGACCAATCACAGCGCGCCAGCTGGCAGCGGGGACTCGTTTGAAGGTGCGCAATGTGGTAACCAGACTGGTAACAAGCTCAGTAACCAGAGTGGTAACCAGAGTGGTAACAGCAGCAGGGACGGCATGCCGGTGGCTGTGAAGGTGCAGCGATCAGGCAGCAAGCAGGAGGCGATAGAGGCGTTTGTGAGAGAGGTGGATATCCTTTTACGCGTGCAGCACACACACATCGTGCGCCTGGTGGGCCGTTGCGACCATGACTTGTCGCTCGTGTATGAGTTCATGGCGGGGGGGAGCCTGCAGGACCAGCTGCTAAGGGCCAAGAATGGGGTATCTGATGCAGTTGCAGCAGCCGGAGCGGCAGGAGCAGCAGCAGCAGCAGAGGGAGCAGCAGCAGTTGTAGCAGAACCAGGGGCTGGGGCAGCAGCAGCAGCAGCAGCACCAGCTCCCGTCCCGGCTTCAAACTTCCCGCTCCCCCTCCACCTCTCGTGGCGGGACCGAATGCGCATCGCAGCCGAAATCGCCTCGGCCTTGCTCTGCCTGCACCAGTCCCACCCACCCATCCTCCACCGGGACCTCAAACCCGACAATATTCTCCTCGACCAATCACGCACCAGCAAGGTCGCTGACGTGGGCCTCTCGTGCGTCGTCCCGTCGTCCAATGTCGTGTTTACTAGGAAAGTCCGCGGCACGATCGGGTTTATCGATCCCGAGGCGGTGGAATCCGGGGAGTTGACGACCAAGTCGGATGTGTATGCGTACGGGGTGCTGCTGATGTTGTTGTTGACCCGCTTCCCCGCTGCTAGAGACCTGCACAGGTACCTGAGCTCGCTCCCGTTTGAGGTTATGCGGAACCCTGCGCGTGCTGCGACTGCAGTCATTGCGGGGATTGGGAGCAGTAGCAGTGGAAGTGGCAGTGGCAGTGCCACCAGCACCAGCAACAGCAGTGGCGGCGGCGGCAGCAGCGGCGGCAGCGGCAGCGGCAGCAGCAGCAAGAGCGACGGCAGCAGCAGCAGCAGCAGCATGGGGCAGCTGGATCCGTCAGCAGGGGAGTGGGACGTGGGGCTGGCTCACCGGCTGCTCGTGGTGGCGCTGAGGTGCCTGGAGCGGACCTCAGAGCGACGGCCATTCATGGAAGAGGTGATGGAGGCAGTGGGTGCAGTGGCGAGGGATGCTGCCTCCAGAATAAACACATCTCACAAGGCGTCTACAAGCGGGAGGTGATGGATGTGTCCTGTGGCCGCTCTGTGGCGCTCAGGTGCCTGGATTGGACGTCAGAGCGACGGACCGACGGCCGTACATGGATGAAGTGATGGAGGCAGTTGGGGCAGTGGCTAGAGATGCATCTCACAAGTCGTCCACATGCGGGAGGTGATGCATGCAGTGGCCGCTCTGTGGCGCTCAGGGATAAAGCGTCGGAGAGATGGCCGTTAATGGAAGAAGTCATGGAGGCAGTTGGGGCAGTGGCCAGGGATGCTGCAGCCTTGGGGGCAAAGGAAGTGGAGTGATATAGGGATGATATGGTGCTGCTGGTGGGGCTCAGGTGCTTGGAGAGGGTTTTGGAGAGACGACGTACATGGATGAAGTGATGCATGCTGTGGGGGCAGTCGCTCGGGATACTGGAGGCATGAGGGCCTAAGTGGAGTGAGGCAACAGTGCAGATGTATTTTTGACAAATGCACGGGTTGGCAGCAGACAAGAAGGGGATTGAGTTTGGTTTACAGGCTAGTACAGAACAAACAATTACTGTTAAGATAGTAGCTTAGGAGGCTAGGGTTTTGGGAAGAGAGTTGGCCAAGAGAAGAGGGTTGCAATAACATTGGGAGTACAAGTTATAGGAAAGGGGAGGTGGTGAAGGGAGGTAGTCCACCTAACGACAAGATAGGGTGATACTACACTACTACCGTATTACCCGGGATAGAAGCGCAGGTGCGCTTATAATAAAACAGTGTTTATAATCGAGGGGGGTGCGCGTCTAATCGAGTCATGTTTATAAGCGCATGCGCTTGTAATAGGAAAAAAAACACTTTTAAACATACCAAATTGAAGCCCGAAATACCGTAATCACCCGGACATAACACCCTAGGGTCTTACTTTAAATACAGCAAAAAAATGGGGGGGGGCTTCTCATAGGAAAAAGCTACATACCACCCGGGTGCATATATATGACATTTTTTTAGTGTAAGGGTTTCTATGAATAGGCAGCTTGGGTGTTTTCAAGGTTGGTTTAGCATCACAGTTGGAAGCGAGATTGTCAGTTTCGACGACAACATTGACTCCTCCTTGAAGTTGCGAGGTGGCACCTCTTTGGCCACTTGATAGCGAAAGAACTACCAGCGTGGCAACAGTGAAAAAGTGGGACGGAGGTGACCCCAGCAGATACTTTCGAAATTACCATGTAATTTCGTGCAAAAAGTGATCGTCGCGATGTCCCCCCGTCATTGCACATACTCGTTAACACCTAAAATAAGGCATTCTGTGTAAAAAAGGGGGTGTTATAAAAAATCACCCCAAAAGGGGGGGTATAGTACAAACGGGGTCAACTATAACAACCACCCCGCACAAGCCACCCGGGGGGTCTACAATTTCGGCGGGTGGTATGTCCGGGTGATTACGGTAAGGCGAATTCAACCGACCATGCAACACGTGGGATCGTGCATGGTTTCCACACGAAAACAGTAGCGGCTCGGTTTCCCACCGCACAGTTTTGTCTAGAACCATCGATCGTGACAGCAGTGACGGGGATGTTGCCGTGCGGCCCAATCACAGTTGCATGCATTGCGTGGCATGCGCATTTCTTCCGAACCCTCTCGAAGGGTGGGGAATATTCCCTGCCAGCGCTGCGTTTATGCTGCCACGCAGGGTCCTCTACGGGGGTAGGCAGGGGTTTCCCGCCTGTCATTGACGAGGACCCCGAGGCGCCAACCTTACGGGGTCCCCTTCGTTGCCCATTTGTGCACCCTCGTTCTCATTATTTTCATTCAGATTCCAGTGTAGGCCGCCTGGCTGGCGAAGCCATGGCGGAATTCAGCGGGACGCACTTCCTCTTCAAGAAAAAACCAGCTCGCCCATAGCGACTTACCGACGACGGGTGGTATACCCGTGAGCCAGCAGCGCCTCCAGTGCCACCTGAACCCCCTGCGCCCCCTGCTCCTCTTGCTCCTCCTGCACCTCCTGCTCCTCCTGCTCCTCCCGCACCTCCCGCTCCTCCATATCCGCCTGATATCGGTGCCAGTGCTCACCAACAGCCCGTGCTCCAGCTGTATTTACCAGCCACTTTCGACGAGTAGCTGTCTGAACCGGACACACCCAAGGCCCTTGATGTGTTCATCCAGGCTCCGCCGCCTGCATCACGGTGGGGACAGCCCGAAGCCTGCACGTGGGACGAGTCGGCTGTGGGCGCCGACGATGACGTGGCCGACGATAAACAAAACAGAGGCGACGGCGACGGTGTCGGCGACGGTGAAGCGGGCGACGAGGAGGACGTGTTCCCAGATCGTGGTGCAAGTGCCGAGGACGACGACGGTGTGGAGTCATGGTGGCGCGACGCACCACGCGAGAAGATGCCGATACCGACGTATCCGCCGATTAACAAAAAACGACCCCACCCCTCGTCCCAGAACCGAGATGCCCGCCCCCCCTCTCCCAGGCACAAGCCGTCTCAACATAAACGGTAGTCCTACACCTCCCAGGAGAAACTCAGGTGGCTCGTGCGGTTGGAGCTGGCGGCATCGATAAGCGAGGTCGCGCGGGAGTCCGGCATACACTGCAAATGCCTGACGAAGTGGAAAACCCAAGCAGAGGAGCTCAAGGCTTCACATGCCGCACGATGTCGACTTCATGGGCGCGGGAGGTCTTCTTGGTACAGACCCATGGAGTTAAAGGTGTACTCTCAACTCCTCGCCTGGCGACGCCGCGGTGTTGCAGTTTCAGTCGGCCGGCTCCAAGATTGGTCACGCGAAGTGATGAAGGTGTTGTTCCTGGAAGTCAAGTGGAAAGGGAGTCAGCGGTGGTCGGAGCGGTTCCGCAAGCGGTGGAACCTCAGCGTGCGCATGAAAACTAAGGTGGCGCAGAAAACGCAGGAGCGTAAGTGCCTTGTTTCCTGCTTACCTCGAGCAAATTCGCATGGTTTAAGAGTTGTTGCTCCTGCACTTCTTATCTTTATCTTGTAGCGGTACTCATCCTTCTTCCTATCTGTCCTTCCCTCCCCGTGCGCAGACGTGGCGACGCAGTGCAAATAATTTTGGCAGTTCGTCCGCGACGCACACAACGAGTACGCGATCGACAATCGATACATAATCAACGCCGACCAAACGCCCCTTTGGTTGGAGATGCCGGCCACTACCACTGTGGAGCAGACGGGCGTGAAGTCGGTGCCCATCCGCAGCGCTGGTTACCAGAAAGAAAGAGTCACCGTGATGCTGGCGTGCACGGCGACGGGCGAGAAGTTGAAGCCGTGGGTGTCAAAATTATATGCTATAGTCTGTTTAGGCTGTAGTGGGGTAGTTCATATAGGGTACAACATTTCTAGGTTTCCTACTTGTACCCACCTGCTTGCTAGTTTAGTCATTCATTCGTTCACTATTCTGACATGGTATTCTGAGCAGGTTCCCTAGTGGGAACGTTTTTTTAGGGCCCACCACGAATTTTTTTCCTGCCCAAAGCGCGCCTCGCGCCCTGCCCTAGTACGGCCCGTCGCGGCCCTGCCTTAGCTGGCCCGTCGCGGCCCAGCCTTCGTCGCCCGTCGCTGGCCCGTCCCGGCCCGTCCAGGCCCATCGCCGCCCGTCGCTGGCCCGAAGCCGCTCGTCGCGGCCCTGCTTTCGCCGCCCACTGCGGCCCTACCCTGCTGCCGCCCTGTCGCGGCCCTGCCTTTCGCTGCCCGTCGCTGGCCCGTCCCGGCCCGTCTCGGCCCGTCGCCGGCCCGTCCCGGCCCGTTGCCGCCCATCGCCGGCCCGTAGCCGTCCGTCGCTGGCCCGTCGCCGCTTGTCGCGGCCCTGCCTTTGCCGCCCTGTCGCGGCCCTGCCCTGCTGCCGCCCCAGTTGCGGCCCTGCATTCACCGCCCGTCGCGGCCCTGCCCTGCAGCCGCCCTGTCGCGGCCCTACCCTGCTGCCTCTCCAGTCGCGGCCCTGACCTAAACCGCCGGCAGCGGCCCTGCCCTGCACCCGCCCCTGGTAAGCACCCGCGCCGCCCTGCTGCGCCGCGCCGCCAGGGGCCGAGCCGTGTGTCAAACATTATATATGTTGTATTTGTGTAGGCTACAGTGGGTTAGCCTTTAGGGGGTACACAATTCTAGGGTTAGGTACTTGTACTCCCTTTTCCTTTCTAGTCCAACACTTCTTCTTTCTAACATTGTATTAAGAGCGTAGGTTTAGACCTAGGATCGCTCCTTAGGGCCCACCGTTCCGTTCGAAGCGCCCTCGAGCGCCTTTCTCCTAGTGCGCCCTCGTGCGCCTCGCTGTCTCCTACTGCCCGTGCGCAGCTCAGTAGAGCCGCACGCGGCCTTTTTATTCTCGCGTGCGTCGCCCCCTAGCAGCCCGCGCGCGGCGTTTCCTGCGAGCGCGCCGCCCGTTAGCCTCCCACGCTGCCACGCGCCGCCCACTAGCAGCCCGTCGACGGGCCCTTCTGGCCGCGCGTAGCCCGCTAACGACCGGCAGCCCCGCCCGTAGGCCGTGCCGCCGCCCTCTAGGCCGCCCACGTACTAGTCAGGCCCACGCAAGGCTACGGCCCGCCCGCTACAGCCGCCCGTGTGCACGCCCCCCCCCCCCCCCCCCGTCGCGCACTGCCCCGTAGCCCGGCCCGAGCCGAACCGCGCCGCCCGAACCAAGCCGCGCCGCCCGAACCGAGCCGCGCCGCCCGAACCGAGCCGCGCCGCCCGAACCGAGCCGCGCCGCCTAGGCAGAGCCGTGCCGCCCTACTGTTCCTACTACTGCAGTTCCTACTACTACTGTCACTGCAACTATGGCTAGTCCTTCTGTGCTAGCTTTCGATGCTGAGGGCCGCCCACTGAAGTTTGAGATCTGGCTCGATGACTTACACCTATTCCTCCAGCTCACTGCCAAGGAGGATATCTCACTGTACGATCACGCGCTAGGCCATGCTACTGCCCCTGCTGCTACAGCTGACAGTACTGCCCGCTCACAGTGGCAGACTCGTGACGCTCACGCTCGCTTCGCTATTCGCAATTCCCTGCCGGTAGATGAACGCGAGCACTTTGGCCAGCACAA